TAAGTCTCCTTTAACGGATGTAGGTAAATGTAAGTATATCAACACTTTGAATAATAGTATTCATTTCAGTGTAGGACTGCAACTGGCAAACGACTCGAGCGGTCCAAGGTATTAGCCAGTCAGTTTGTCAGTCTGCCAGAGTTCGCATAGGGACACGAACTTCAAATCAAAGCCAGGCTAAGTGCCGGTTTGTGGCCCACAAAGGGTTTTGCAGATTTGCATGTGGCAGGCTGGCTGGTCGAGCTGGTAGAGCTTGCAACGAAAAGAGCCCGTGGAATGCGGCGAGCCAAATAAATAGTTATAGATTGTAGCGCATTTTTAGCGCTCGTTTTTCGGCAGCCTTGCCGGCATCACACAGGTTGCCTTTGCCTTCGGAAGGGCAGACAACTTAATTGTGATCCACCAGCACAAACTGCTGCCGGTGCATGGCGATTTTCCAGTTGCAGCCAACGAATTTGGGTTGCCAGCGGAATGTGTGCTTCCCATGGTCACAATGCCAGACATTTCCATATAAAGGGGGAAATCTCGGGGAGGTGGATACCAACATGAATTGAGCTTGAAAGATTCTTACAGGGAATTGTGAAATTAAGGAATGTTTTTTACACAACCCTACTCATCTTTCATTAATTTCCTATTGAAAACCCATTTAAAATTCCCCAGAAATCAAATCCTACGCTGGGGAATCTTTGCAACAGGATTTTACTGGAACAATAACATAATTTGTGTTTGATTTCGCCCAAGCCCCCGCATGTTTGTTGGCCGCCACACAAATGAAGCGAAAATTGGCCATAAACCGGGCAATTAGCAAGCATTTTCACGCACTGCACGCGTTTGCGATGTTCTGCGATCGCCGAGTGTTCACTGATGGCCAAAACGTGAGCGAGGCGTGAGCATAAATACGATGGAAAATGGCAGTAATTAACGAGAGTGCAGATCGGATTCGCCATGGAAATGGCAATCCGAGATGCAGTGGAGTTTCCCCCTCTCCCCCGAGAAAACTGCAAACAGTTCAGCGGCCGTTTTCATAAACATAAAAAGCCAATTTCAATAACATTTTCCACTGCCGCTGCAAGTTTTTCGGTGTTGATGCAACATGAAACGGCGGCAGCCCCAACAGTTGATGTTGCTCTTGCGGCGGCAACAGTTGCTGTTGCTACAAATTTGTTGCTAGTTGCTGCTAGAATAGCGTTTATTGAAACATTAATTGCCCATGTGAAAATCACATCTCGTTGCCATTAAAGTGTTCGGTTGCCACCCGCCAAACTGAATTTGCATTTTTTTCAGCTGCTTCTCTGCCGTTTGAGACACTTGTTCATGTTGGCTTTTCTTTTTGTTTTTTGTTTGCTTGGGGTCGTCGAATGTTGCCCTCCGCAGCTTCCTATTGCTATTGCGATAATTGAAATTTGATGTCGGACATTTTTTGTGCTATTTCTGGTGATGTTGTGTGGGATTTGTGGTCACTTAGTAGTTTGTTGCATTACAAAACTACTTTTTGGGAATTAAAATACAGTGGGAGTTGAAGAAAGTGAAAAATCATTTAAGTTACATAAATGTTTTCAAGTCAAAGAACACTCATTATGTTCACTTATAAAATGTCTTCCCTAACACTTCCTTTTTGATTTATTTGTAAGAGCAATATAATAATAAAAAATAAACAAATTGCCCCTGTGTTTGTTTAACCAATCTAAATGCTCCCCTGCCAGTTCTGCGCATTCTCATGGACAATTTGTTGAGCCTATGCTAATGCCTTGGGGTCTTGACAATCAACAATTGAAATGCCTTCAATTGCACTTCACAGCTTAATCACAAGGCACAGCCAAGTCAACAGTTGTAACACCTACACTAGACAACACAAAACGATTGACAACCTGAACTGTCAACGCATTGAAAATCGCTTGAGTGACTGCCATGTTGACCACGCCTCTTTACCCTACTTATAGCACTCCAAAAAAAATGTACCTTATAAGGAAAATGAGCTTTTTTTATATTTAAACCCCTTAAAACCCTTTTTTTTAAATTTCTATATCTTAAATTGTTTCCTACTTAAATTATTCCTACACTTGAATTAGAATTCATTATTAAAGTGTTTCAAAAAGTAGAAAATTATTTTTCGTGCAGTTTCGTTTTCCTCGACGCCGGTGGCAATCGAAGGAGAGCGAGAAAACATGTCCACACATCAGGGAAAAATAAAAGAGTTTCCATAATGAAAATGTCAACCCGTTGGCGCGGTGCAAAGTCCGTTTTTATTGACAAAAAGGGGGTGTGGCAGGGGGCGGGGAATAAATAAGAGAATAATACGGCAGCAAAGGTAGACAATAGTTCACAGACTGCAACTGCGAAATATCACGCGTGATTCATCGGCTGCCGCGGTGGGAACAACAACAACAATAACAACAACAACAGCAACACATGCAACTGCAACACCCACGCACGCACAAAATGCATATGCAAATGCGTTTCTTATGCTTGTTAGAGAAACGCCTGCGTCGCCCAATGGAAATTGTGACCTTTTCTTATTTATTAACCCAGCCAAGTCGTAATTATGCAAAACGGGCCAAGAGCTGCAAATATGTTGCTGGTGGGACAAGAGCAAGAAAAATGTATATTGCTAAAAGGCTACCGATAAGATATTGCCAAGGGTTCGCCAATGAAATTTATTTAACTGCATGTTTTACCAGATTTAAATACTATATTGTGATGGAAAAGATCTCACGGAAGAAAGACGATTACTTGTTCCCAAAAACCTAAAAGAAAAAAGAAGACAAGTTAGATTTTTTTCCAGCAATTTGATTACACAATTGCCAAATATTTGTCAAGATCGAGAACCGAATGATCTGTGAGTGTACTTGAACTCCGCACTCGATAAATTGAACAGCCAAAGTGCAGACTGCAAAAAAAACAACCAAAAACTAGCAGCAACACCAAACAACCGAAGAACCAAACAACCAAACAACCAGACAACCGCAATCGCAGTTAGCAGCCCAAAATAGCAGACAGCAACACGATTTGTGGCATTCAAAAGTATAAGCACCGATTTGCACCATCAGATCGGCCAGATAAGCATTAAGAATCTTTGACAGAAATTGGTTAACTTTGCGATACAAAAGCCTTTTTATTGGGTATTGGGATTCGCTTAGTGGCTTGCGAGTTTTCAGAAAAGGAAGTGAATTATTGGCCGACAAATCTGTTGCGGAAAATAAATGGGTTAAATAAAATGTTAAATTTGTTTTGTGATAGAACAACCGTAAATATAATAATGTTGTTTCAAAACAAAATATGCATGTATAATATTATAAAGAAATGTATTGTTTTGTTTATTAATTATACAGCATTCAAAAACATTTTGGAATAGGGTATGCTAGTTTCAGTTTCTCCGCTGGAACCTTTTGCTTTCAGGGTGCCGCTGGCGTCGATTGGCAATCGCTGGATGGAAAACCCGACGTGACCCGCTTTCTGGGCTTCCAGCTCAAAGGGCTTTAGCCCTGACAGTAGCACCCACTTTGCTTTTGCGGTGGCGACTGAACATTTTTGGCATCTCCGGCAATACAACAATTTGGCAATCATTTGCATATCGATGTGCTGATCGGTGCAGCTTTTTGCAGGGGAACGTGTTGGCATTTGGCATAATCTTCAGCCGGAGAGTTTCCAACTCAATTAGAAGCCGAGTGGTTGTTGTTTTTCGTTGTTTACCCCAACTTGAGATGCGGCGCATAATGAAATCGAAATCGAAATCCAAACTGAAACTGAAACCGAAACCGAAACCGAAGCTGTCGAGTTCAATGTTTTGTTTTCAAAATGGGCTCAGAAAATCCTTGAACAGTGTCAACGCCTCGAGAAGGAACGATTGATTAATTTACAAAATAGTTGAAATTCTTCCGCAATAAAAGGCGAAGAATAACAAAGGTCTGCGAATGGAGATGATCTGTTTAAGAGGCGAAATCCACTGCCCGAGACGTGTCTCCTTGCCGCCAGAAGTCAACGCACTTCGCAGCTCATGAATTTTACTACAACTGCCGCTTTACGCACTTTTATCAGAATTTATATTGCGGCGGCTATTCTTTATTCCTCCTTTTTTGTGAATTTTAAGCCAAGTTATTCATGTGTCGGCCAGGCGGATAAATTTTGTGCGTAAGCTTTTCCATTATTTGGAGCCACACTGGAAAATAAAGGATTGAATCAGGAAAAGTTTCGCGAAAAGCGTTTATATTTCGAAGAGAAAACAGGACGTGAAAAGTTATTATTAAAAGGAAAATAATTTACATTCGTTTTACACGATTATTCAAAACTTATGAGCGCCATCTGTCTTTGGCGTGCCAAAATACAGCAAGCAAACAACACCATCCAAGGTTGGAACCAATTTTTTTCAGGTTAATGAAAAAGATCACCGGTGATGCGCTGAATTAGAAGTGTGTATCGGAGAGATTACTCCTGTTACACATATCTGTTATAAGCTGGTGCACTGAACCATGGTGAAGAAACATGGACACCGTGGTTACCCACCCGAGTTGGCGCCAAAAAATCGGTTACCAGAAAAATTTCTAATTTCGAAATATCAACAGTACCGGTGTTCTTGTTTGACCATTCAAGAAAAAGTTGTCTTATCCTAAGGTTCCCCGATATTTCATAATGAAGAAATATTATTTCTGCGACTTAAATCGAGTAAATCGAAAAAAAAACACATGGTATGAATTAGGGTACCACTTTTTTTTTTACCAGAACCCACTGGATCCTGCCTACACATGACAGTTCCTTTACATCAGTTAACTCTTTCGGAATCTGAAGAGCATGCTGAAAATCAAAAATATTCTAGTTACCCACATTTTCAGATTCTACGGAAACTAAATGCAAAAAAATATTCTATAACTCTGCCTTTAAAATTAAGTTTTATTCTTATGAAGTGCTAATTTGGCGAGTATATCGATATTTGAATCGATTTCTTCCCAGCTCCAATTGACAACTATAAAGTCTTATACTTTTGTATCGATTGTATATCGACACATCGATAACTCTGCAGCTGTAGGCGTGAAATAATTATTATTTTATTATAAACAATTTTTATCGAAACGTGAAAGAAGCCGGACGTGCGCACGGTACTATGCGAAGTGCAGATACCAAATAAATTTCAAAGAAATACAAAAACAACGCCTGTTGAAGCAAACTCAGCAAGGCAATTAACCAAGCAGGGAAGTGAAAACATAACCGCACGATCTCTCCGAAATTTTTTGGGCGCGTTTGAGTATCGGTGAACGGAGTTTGGAGTGAAAAAAATGGGAAATTTCGACGGCGATTCTGGAACGGTTTTCGAGCAGAGCTACGCGACAACAAATGGAAACGGAAAGGCGGCGAATGGCAACGGGGCGGTCAATTTTAGCCCTCCGGAAAAGCAGGAACTCCTCAGCCAGCGGAAATTCTCGGCACCCGCATACACTGAAATTCGCACGCGACGCTGCCATTCGAAAACCCCCCAGCGATGCCAAGGTGAGCAGTTCTTCTTCGCCCAGTGTAGGTGGGGAAAATAAAAACTAAGCACCTCGCGGAACCAAAATAACAAGAGAAAAAGCCATTAAAATTGGCCGAAAAGTGTGGTTCCGTTTCTCTTTCTCGCTCGCTCTTTCTGCCGGCGAATCATTGATTTTGTGTGAGTGGGAGTGAGAGAGGGAGAGGGTGCGTCAGCTGGAGAAGTTCGGCCTAAATTTTTGTCGTCTTCGGAGGGTGAATTTCCTCGGCTTTTCCCATTTCTGGGTCAGCCCACAGCTGTTTTCCTTTACTGCAGTGTTTTCCTCGCGTGTTTTCATTTTCGCCGCAAGTGCGGCCAATTCGATTATTTTGGCTAGTTTTTGGCTTCTTATTTGGAGTCCAATTGGAATGCAGGGGATAAATACAAAACTGTTATAAGGTGTGATAAGGTAAAAATTAGAAATAGTTAAGGTAGATTTCTTGCTCTTGTTTCTTTTTATAAAATTCCACAATCAGCAACTTGTATTTGAAATCAAAATATTAGGAAAATAAAGATCCACAGTTTTATCGAAACTACAAACATTTTGTAAACCCTTTTCTATCCACTTGCACTCTGTTATCTAGTTATTGTCACTTTTTCGGCACTCCTGTACTTGGTCGTAATTTTCCCTCAGGTTGACCGTACCCAAAATGCTAACATGGGTGCATATTGTTTGTGGAGAGCGCCCATTAATACTCGGTACACCGAGGACTGGTAATAATATTGTCATGCCATGCCGGGCTCGCCTTATCAAGCCCACTGCGGACAATCTTTTACGTAAAGCCTCGCAGAATGCCATTGGGTTGTGAATCATAAAGCTCCGCAATCGCCGAAGGCAGTACTTTTCGGGTGGGCGTTGATTTATCAGTGATAAGATTTTATTCGTTCATTTTGGGGAGTCAGAGAACGCCAGACATTCGGTGGCAACTAATATTTTAATAGAGTATGATTAAGGGATTATGTTATTATTTAATGTGTCTAGTTTATAAATAAAAAGTCATTTGTTTCTAACCGATACTTGAGCTTTACTTTTATAAACAGTAACAAGATCTTTTCTGCAGAATAAGTACTTAAGTGTATTCAGTGAAGTACTATAAACATTTCAATTTCAATGCGTTTTGCCTTGTTATAAAATTATGAAAAAATTTTATTTTATTGGTTTTATCAGTGGTTGAATTTCTGCGCGTGTTTGGAACGCCTAAACCTTGATAACTTGCTAGGAAAAGCAATGTCATATTTATCAGCATGAAAAGATTATAATATGCGTGCGCTATATTAAGATAAGAATTTGGATAAAAAATCTAAAAAGTTTATTTTAAAATAGAACGACTTTTAATACTCGAAAGCAATTAGAAAATGACTCACGAGCAATATCTCTTTGGAACCCCCTATAAGTCATTTGCTTGAGGACTTTGGCATGTGCTGTGTGAATTTAACCTGTTATCTTGGATTCTATGTATCCGTAACATATGAAAGCCATTATCTGGTTCTCACCCTCTGCTGTCTTCCTTCCTGTCCTCTTTTTTCGCCCACTCAATCGCGTAATTAGTATTACACATTTTTTATTTATTTGCTCGACTTGGTTTCGATTTTTATCTATTCGCTTCGGGCTAGTCTATATACCCTAACCAAGGCAGTCCATTAAAAAACCCAGCGGAGCGTAGCACACTTGATCTTTCCCTTTTCCCCTCGCTATATCTCTCAATATTTAGTAAACAAGACCGGTGGCAAATGATAATAAACACGAAATATTATTGTCGCCGACTCGTTATTGTGATACGATTAAGCTGGCGTTACCCGTATATATATCGCTATATATACATGAATGGCTCAATTAATGAGAGCCACTCTCCTATCGGATCCTTCGGTCGGCAAAATCAATAACCAAATGATATGTACATTGAAATAAATAAGTTAATTATACCGCTCCATTTGTTTAACGGCGAGGTTGAAGTGTGCCAAGTTGGGCAATTGTTGGCTACATATATGGCTTCCCCAGACTTCCCTCTCTTTCGCACTTTGGCTTTCTGTCTCATTTGTGTGACTTCATGTCGAACTCGGCTCATGTGAGCCGTGGAGCAAATTTTTCAGCGTTCAGATGTCGTGTGACTATAAGTGTACGTACCATGCATATATAGATCTGTTAGTTTAATGTTAATTGGCTGGTGAATTGACTGAACGCACTGAAAGGGCAAGCAAGTTAATAAGTGCTCGTGTTGAGATTCAGTGATCCAATAAAACGTTTATATACAAAACCCCTAATATAAGGTTCAGTTGACAAATTGGTTCACGAGCATTTTTGGGATAGGATAGGCTATGATTTTCTCTCAGTGTAACTTAATTATTTTTCGCACCTGTTGGTCATTGAATTCCAACAACCGATCCCTCTTTCAACAGTGATTATCTGCCTTCTGATAAGTGATTTCCAATGAGTGCTATGTAGATTCCCAGCGATACGAATAATCAATAAGCGATAACCAGTCACTAATGGATGATCTCTTTGCTTTTCACAGAGTCCCAGTGTGACTAACTATCATCCGGAGAAGAAGTTGCTCCAAAATGGTCATGCTGCATCCGTTGCTAGGAGTCACGAGGATTCGGAATCGAAGCCCAACCAGGCGGAGGGCAAACTCTCGCCGGAGCTCGAGCACTTCCAGAAGACCTCCTTCGAGGAGGTGCCTCTCCACACGGCCTGCCTCACGTACCTGGGATTCTACTTGCTGATGATCCTCGGCTACATCAACCAGCTGCTCTTCGTGCCCAAAGTGGCCACCGAGAAGGGTCGCGAGGGCTATGTGACCCTGTACGATGCCTTCGAGAGCTTCTACTCGCGCTACGTTTACCGGAGGATCAAGGATTGCTGGAACCGCCCCATTTGCAGTGTCCCTGGAGAGGAGGTGACGCTCAAGGATCGGGTGACCGATGACTACGGATGGAGCTTTAAGTTCACGGGAACGGAGACGCGCTGCTTGAATCTGGGATCCTATAACTATTTGGGATTCGCTGCCGCCACTGGTCCATGTGCCGATGAGTCGGAGGAAAGTGCCCGAAAGTCTGGATTGGCCTTCTGCAGTTCTCGCTGTGAGTTGGGCGACAATGAGCAGCTGCGGGAGCTGGAAGCCCTCACTGCCAGATACTTGGGCGTCGAGGATGCCATTGTCTTTGGCATGGGCTTCGCCACGAATGCCTTGAACCTTCCCTCGCTTCTGGGACCCAATAGTCTGGTGATCAGTGACGAGAAGAACCATGCCTCCATCATCCTGGGACTGCGTTTATCTGGAGCCACCACCAAGGTCTTCAAGCACAACAACATGCGGGATTTGGAGCGAGTTCTTCGCCAGGGAGTTGTCTATGGAAATCCCAAGAAGGGCGGCCAGCCGTGGGACAAAGTATTGATTCTGGTCGAGGGCATCTTCAGCATGGAAGGTTCCATCGTTCGTTTGCCCGAATTGATTGAGCTGAAAAAGAAGTACAAGGCATACTTGTATCTGGATGAAGCTCACAGCATTGGAGCGATGGGTTCTCATGGTCGTGGAGTTACGGATTACTTCAACGTGGATCCCAATGAGGTGGACATTCTGATGGGCACCTTCACCAAGAGTTTCGGTAGTGCTGGTGGCTATCTGGCTGGATCAAAGGTGGGTTAAACACTTTTCCCTTTGTTTATCTCCATTAACAATTGTTTTTGTTCCCCAGAAACTGATTGACTTCCTTCGCACCAACAGTCATGCTCACTGCTACGCTGCATCGATCTCACCGCCCATTGCTCAGCAGATTCTGACCTCCATGAAGACCATTATGGGTGTAGATGGCACCGATATCGGCCGCAAGAAGATCCATCAGCTAGCCAGGAACACTCGCTACTTCCGTCGACGTCTTGCACAGTTGGGAGTTATCACCTATGGTCACGAGGATTCCCCCGTGGTGCCCATGTTGGTCTACCTCTTTTCCAAAATTGGGTAAGTTGAAAAAAATTGCATTCAGGATAAAGATCTCCAATGAAATTGTTTATGTATTTTTAGCGCTGTGGTTCGCACCTTGACGACACGACACATTGCCGCCGTGGGTGCCGGATTCCCGGCCACGCCCATTATGGAAGGACGCATCCGTTTCTGCCTTTCCGCCGCCCACACCAAGGAGCAGCTGGACTTTGCCTTGGAGGCGATAGACGAAATCGCCGATGATCTCGGTTTGAAGTATTCACGCAAGCCCCGTGATCCGAATCCCGTCATATATTAGAAGCATATGCACACAAATAGCAGTTAAGCTTGGGGTAAAGAAAGTCTCCCCGATCGGTAGACCAAAACTAAAACACAGTCCATAAATTGCTAGAGATCAATCACGAACGTTTGGTTACGTTGACCAAGTATGAGTTGCAGTTAAGCTAAGTACTTTACAGTTTTTTTCTCTGTTGCTGTTGCTGAAGTTTCCTTCCTTTTAATTTATATTCCCAGAGAATAATTTATGACTAAATACCTTGGAATATAAATCAATCGGAAGGAATATTTAACAGCTGCTACCAAAACAAAACAGAACAGTAAATAGCTTAAGCAATAAAATATTATTAATTATTTAGCATTTACCTCTACATAGTTGTTATTGTAATTGTAAACTCCAAACGTCTTCTTGAGTCGGCTGCAGCATTTGAAGTACTTGTGTGAAAATGACAGCGAAATGTATTAGGAAGATCAGGTTTTGGTTACATTCAGAGCTAAGCTAAGGGAAAGCCCCTTTTTCGTGGGACAGTCGAGCACCTCGCTTCTACCAATTAAGCCATTAAAGCTAAGCCAAAAGAAACGTCTACGGCGTCAGCGATTTAATTGTACAACATGTTGCATGTTGCACAGCCTTCTAGGGTCCAAAATCTGGGCCGAAATTAAAGGCAATGTCAGGAACGTATCTATGTATAATGATTATGTATTAATGATTTTATTTTTCTATCAACAAATAAATAACTGTTGCTTTATCTATTGAACTAATTGTAAAGGTGTATTAATGTAAAAGACGCAGTAGTCTAATGGAAAATTTATGTCATTGAATGGCCCCAGTAAAAATAAATGTGAAACTCGGTCAGCATCTACCAGCTATACTGAAATATCTGTCATTATATCCCCAACACGAATTTTCACTTTAAGCTTCGACAATATACTCCCAACCTTGGAATAACAATTTTCTAATTAACAGTAACTCATGACATCTCTGCACCACTCCTTGCTATTCTTATCCTGTGCCGACCACAATGCCAAATAAATTCCAATTGTAATTGTCTCTGCCTTTTAAGAAATTAAGACAAAGAGCGAACAACTCTCAGATCGAAGGACAATAAAAGGGCTAAAATGAGCGGCTTGTTCGGGGCGTTGTTGTTTTATCGGCTTAGGCAATACTTTCAATTTTATGTTCTGGCAAATATTTATTGAACTGTCCTTCTTTATTCTGTGGGGAATACATGCAAAATGAATCTAACTTTTGGGTGAGAGAGCGAGCGTTGGAATTCTCGTTAAAAGTGCATTCGAATTGATTTTAAAATAACTTGCTGGACACGGCCGTTTACACTGTTTTCGATTTTATTTTAAGTCATTCATATTCATATTTTAAAATAAATGAAATTTAAATTTTTTGTTTGTGAATATAAAACTAAGGAGTTCAAAAACCAAACGATCAAAACGACAATTTTTCTCTTAAAACATGTAAAAATATGTATGTATCTTAAAATTGTAAATGGAAATTCTGCTTTTGTATTTATTTTTGACTCTGTTTTCTGTTTGTGGACTTTTTAGTAAACACTGATCCACTTAAAAGTCTTTTACGGCGAAATATGTTTTAAAGTAACTGCTATAGAAAAAGAAGTAATATTCATGGAATTTTTTGTGGAGTATGGAAATCGGGTCAAAGCGCCCTGATAATTCTGAAAATATATACCTATGAGATTTTCAGGTTGTATTGAACGACACGTCCACATCAGTTTCGATGGGTTTAATTTATCTGCTGCTTTCTGTTTACTTTTTTCGAGCTGCCAAAATGGAAAATGACAATACACGTCGGTACACAAATATGTGTATCCTATGCAAGCACGTGTGAGTGGGTGGTTGGGCTGTGGGTGGGTGGTGCGATTGGGTGGCTGTTTTCCCAACCAACTTGGTGTGAGTAATTGACTACGTGCGTATAAAGTTTGTGCTGGCATTTTACCCGAGTACTGCCAAAGTGGCTGCAGCAACAACGCCAGCATTTTAGCCTGCCCTTGAGTGTGGTCAACAGTTCGAGTGGTTGTGTGTGCGAGTGTGTGCGGGAGTGTGTGCAATCATAAATATGCATCCTGTTGGCCATTTGTCATGGCTTTTTGCCCAGCGCCGCAGACAAGAGTCTGCATCTTCAACACCGCAAGTGGCCCGGGTTCCAATTCAAATGCTGTTTCCCAGAGCGTTCTTTAATAGAGATTGATAAGGATATGCGGCCAATCGAGGCCACCGATCTGGCTATAGGAAAACATCGGCATTCCTGTGGCCACCACAGTATGCATTAATGTTTGCTACTTCCGCTTCTTGTCCTTCACAAATTGCTGATGCGATTTTCGCGTGCAGCTTGTTTGTTTTACCACCTGCGTTTTTTTACTGCTCCGTGGAGGGAAAACTATAAGTGTGTTTCACTCGCTTACGAAAATATATTTTGGCGAAGCGGAAAGTCCCATACTTTCGTGCTATTAGCTAGAAACATGAATATTTCAAGCAGTTTATTACACCTTTTTTATGAAGGGGCATAAATATAAAATGTCGCTTATGATTTAATACTGTTGGTTAATTTTTTTGGAAGCTGGGAAATAACTAGTTATTATTAAACCACGATTTTTCAATCTTAACAAAGTCTCACAATTTACAAGCTTTCACTTCAAACGTGGTTCCCAGGATTTGCAATGGTTGTGACTTACCTTTTAAGCCCAGCAACTTCCGCGGTTTTTGGCCCACAAATACAATTTTAATGTTTCCGCTTACTTTGCGAAATATGTGGGTACGGTATGAACACATTCGAGTTGTATTTTTCTTCCTGCTTATATCCCCAGCACGGGAAGTTGCATTTTGTGTGTTTCATAATCTGATAAAATGTTGCAAAAAGTTTCCCCTCGTCAAGCTGGCGCAAAAGGGAATTTATGCAATGCGGGAAAATCCAAGTCCGAATCCTATTTGTGAACACTTGAAGCATGCAAATGGCGGCGTCTGAGTTATGCGCATACTTTCGGTAGTCACTGTGCGGCGGGAGCGATTGATTGAGAAGTGTAACATATACAAATGGCAACGGCATTAATATAAATCCCTGCAAGTATTTTCTATGGCGGAAGACACTATTTAGTGACTTCTGGAAGTTAAAGGTGATCAAAGAAGAGTCTTACAAAAGAATACATTCAGACGTTATGAAGAAGTGGCTCTAAGGCGATTGGTGATAGCTTTTTAAACTTTAAACTTACCTTCTACCTTATTTATTTATTATTTATTACATTACCTGTTTTAAAAATCAATAATACTTCAAGCCTTGTCCTTGGCAGCCCCATAGAACGCACACTCCACCTACGATTCAATTTTGATTTCCATCAACTCGTCGCCAGGACATCACCCATCAAAGTGCAAACAAATTAATCTTGGCCCCGTTTGCAGGAGCGGATTGGCAATCTGTTACACGACTCTCGTCGCAGTCAAACACTTGACTTCACTTCACTTCGGATGCTATTACTTAAGCACATGTTTTGTAATAAGATTTCGCTGGAACGATTTTTCATGGGCAAACGTGTCGCCCGGCTGCTCAGTTGCTCAGTTATGGATATAAAAAGGGGATCCCGGCTATAGACGAGGGCCAAGGACAATCAGTCATTCGCCAAAAGGGCTGGCAATGAGACGTAGTTTGACTTTTGTTGCTGCTCAAGGATAAGGATACATGTCTGCACTCACTGTGTGCCCAACACTTTCGATTCGACACACACGTTAATCAATCACGTTGCCATCGCCCACCCAAAAAGGCAGAGATTTAATCAAGGAATTTCCTGTGATTTTCGCAAGCCAAAATTTAAATGCCTGCCTGAATGTGTGTCCTTTCGCCTGCTAAGGCAACCGCAAATTAAATTTGCTGCCGAATGTTCTAAGGGTGATGGAAAGGGAAAAACCTGAGAGCCGACCGCAGTTTTCTAATTAATTCCATGGGCAGATAGAATTTGGCATTCGAATCTTGCAGACACCTTAGCACCTGTCACCGGCACATGCTAAATGTCCTGGCCCACAACTTTCGGCTCGAGTGACTTCCCCTTGTTGGGCATCATTAAGTTCTGTGTTTTGTGGGCCAACGCCTTCTTGTTAACATTTATGGTTATTGTTTTCGCCAGATGATGTGGGGGCGTGGTCAAGGCTAATGTCTCCCAAATATTCAATCCATTCACTGGCCCAAATTAAAATGTGTGTTGGGGGCAATATGCTGGCGCCAGATGTTTATGTTTTAGGGGGGAGCGAAGTGATCTTTATCAGATGAAAAGAAATTAAAGTTGCACTTTGGCACTTAAGTTTTAAGAGGTTTATTTTTCGCGATGCGTTAATTGTTATTGGAGAAAAAAAATAAGTTAAAAGTAGGATCACATGTTAAAGATTTTTTGAGTCATACGTAAAAAGGCAAATATGATCATTTCTCCCTTAAAACTCAAAAAACTGAAATAGAATAGAATATGTCGGGGTTTCGTTGGACTTTTCCATTTTCAATTGTCGGGGTTTCGTTGGACTTTTCAACCGAGTTATTAGCAGCAAGTTCTGCTCGTTTGCTTGGCGCTTTCGAACTGACTTCCCAAGAGTCTGCTTTCCAAATTTATACTTTCTACTCAATTCTTTTACATTGTTAGCCATCTCTTTCTAACATGTATGTCAGCGCTTAACGAACAGACCTCACTTGGCAGCAGTCTAAATCTATCCTGCTCTGCCATGCTTTCACTCAATTTCTAACTTCCTTTTTAATTGTCCCTGCTTCACATTAAAGAAGGCCCCGCTTCACCTGTTCTGACCAAGAGAACAAAGTAGGCCCCGTTTCATCTGATCCGACACGGCCTTCCTGACAAATCACACGTCCTCGTGTGGTCAGTTCTCCACTCCTTTTGCCAATACCTTATGACTCAATTCTTCATAACACCTCTCCTTTTTTTTTTTTTTTTAACAAACTTTTATTTTATTCACTGGACAAAAGCTTTAAAGGTATAAATTACTTAAACAAATATCGAGTCTTTCATTTCCATACAGTTTCTTCGTTTTAACATAAATAAATTTCTTTCGTTTAGTTACTCTCCAGTAACATTAATCTTATCTATAACATCTTATCCATAAATCGTATAATATAACATTTTACATCGATTTTACATTTTCATTTAGTGTAATTTCTTTAACACCTTTCTCATTTTTATTTTCCATCTTTCTCTTGACCCCGCCATTACATGTCTCTTCTGTATGGTGCGGTCCTGACTCCCGCCATAACAAGTCTCTTTTGTTATGGTGCAGTCCTGACTCCCGCCATAACAAGTCTCTTCTGTTATGGTGCAGTCCTGACCCCCGCCATAACCCGTCTCTTCGGTTATGGTGCGGTCTTTTCTTTTTCTCTTCTTATACTTCTGTAGCATCTTCTATCACGTCATCCCTATCTTCGCTTATAAGCTGATTATTTGGCAAAGCTCTAAGAGATTCGTGTGGATATTTATAAATTCGCTTACTAGTTAAAGATTTTAACAGATATCTATCTCCATCTAGAATCTCAATGATCTCAAATGGCCCTTTAAATTGTGGATCTAGCTTCGTTTTATGGCGTTCCTCATGTTTAAGCAATACGTGGTCGCCTAACTTATGTTTGTTAATTTTCGCTTTATTATTATCGTATCTGTGTTTATCATATCGTGCACTGGCTTCCATATTTTGTGTAGCTTGATTTCGTAAATTTACCCTATCTATTTCTTGTTCACCTTCTGCATCAA